TCACTTGCTACGCGATCCCTTGGAAGGGGGCGGTCACGTTATATGTGGCTACATGAGTTTAGAGTCGAGGAAGCAGGATAGTGGTATTTATGTTTTATTGACTATGTAGATTGATTGTGTTGAACCAACATCTAAACTGTGGAAGTGGAAGTGGAAGTGGAGGTGGAACTGGAAGTGGTAGAGACATATAGCGCTAGTGCACGTGCCTCGATATTCTAACGACATGTAATGTTTCCACGAAATTCAGACCACGGTGACAGTTTTCTGTGTTGGTGAAGTGCTTCTAATAGTTAGAGAAGTAAAACGTGCCTAGATTTTGACAATGTGTTGTAATGTGCAACTACACGCCTAGTGGTTTTTGTGAGCTTGTGTTATCACCAAAGATAAGAATATATCACTACCTTCACTCCTACGTAGCCATATAGAGATACAAACATAAAGAGTGATGGATGAAGTTTGATAACTTCTCAAGCCTTGAAAGCAATCTTTGTTTGATCTCAGAATTGTCCAACAAGAATAGTAAAGGATTATTGGCAAACTACATAGAAAATTTCAGCTGTCAGTCACGGGATCTTTAATGAATCAGAGGAAGGCAAATGTATACCTAGGTACCTATGCGTAGCAAGAAATGTAGAGAAATGATTCGATTAGAGCAAAAGCTTAAAAGCAGCCAATATACTGGTCAACAGGACACGACAGCTTCCCGAAAATTGAATATGAACTAAGTGCCCCAATCATCATCTCAGAACTTTTTGATGAAGTATGAGCGCACACTGGTTCCACTCGATGGACTTTGTAGGTTGAAATCGGTTTTTTGGCATCGGAGAAGATCGGAGAAGGACTGACATTTTCATCCGAAGTAAACTGGAATCGATTTTCTTGTTGTTTCCATGAAGCTGGCCGAAAACTGTGCGACCCGAGAAAATTCCAAAGTCAGACTTCAGAGACAATGTGAATATGGAATAAAGGAAGCCAATGTGTTACGTTGTTTTTTCATGAGAAATAAAATGAGGGCCTAAATGCTTCACAGCATCTTTCCAAAGTATTCACAATTTAAAATGATGCAAGTTTTTGTCATGTTGACTGATCTCAAGGAAGTCTACTTTGCTGATCATCACAGAACTTTATAAAAGACCAAATCCATATTGCGAAATTTCCACGAGATGTCAAATGGCAAAGGGGATATGAAAGTCATCGCTGTGTTTGGCCTTGTCCTACAGATATCTTATATGATATAGACTTCTATGTACCAGATAACAAACTACAATCTTCAATCCTTAATGAAGTTCTTCTCTTCATTACCAATTGTCTTTTAGAAAGAAATATGTGTCTCACGTAGTATCTGAAATTCACTGAGTACCCCACTATCATGTCTTCAAAATCGAAAATGGAGATTGCTAGGGCAACGCATACCAGAGCAGACAAAGTTCAAATTTTGTGAATACATGAGATCAGTAGTTGAAAGTGAGAGATCGGAACAACCTTTCCCCTTTTCATCAACAATCGGGCACCACGTGGAAGCGGGACAGATAAAAAAACTATCAACCTTTGTAGTTCGAATCTGTCCCGTGTTTTAAAACAGAATTTTTCTCTGTTTATATTCGATTTCTGATTGAACTTCCCACTCTTTATTTTCTTTCTCCCACAAGTTTCTGCCTTTTCAATCTTCTTCTCAATAATTGCTTCTATTACACAATAATTTGAGCACTTGCTCTGCTTGTTTGCAGTCTGTCTTTCAGAGCTTCTTGCTTCCATTTGCTTTTAATATCTTTGAGCTTTCCGCCTTCGTTTATACCCTTTCAATCTCACACTTTGTCACATACGCTTCTTTCAAAATGGAGCCCGCTTATGTTGTCACTCGCGAGCAACATCTCTTCTTTGAGGAGAATGGTTACTTGATCATCACCGATGCTCTGAATGAACAATATATTAAGGACCACCAAGTCTGGGCACAAGCTGCACATGATCTCCCACGAGTCAAAGAGGCTTGTGAGTATCTCCAATACGATGAGATCAACAAGAAGGGAGAACGTGTACTGTGTAGAGTTGAGAACTTTACAACTGCTGTACCAGGTTTTGGCTCACTGCTTCGTGGTATGAAGCTTCTCAGTATCGTCAGCCAGTTGGCTAATAGTCACATGGTCCTCTTCAAAGACAAGTGTAAGCTTAGCTCTTCTTAACCTTCAATACTCCACTAACTTCTCAAGTGAACTACAAGTTTGCTGGCTCTGGCGGATTTGCTGCACATGTCGATCGTGCTGGCTATGGTGCCTTTAGTAACCTCAAGCACTTGTCTATTGCCATCGCAATTGATCCAGCCAACCAAAAGAACGGAGGTATGGAGGTGGTTTCTGGTAGCCACAAGATGGACATTCCAATCAGCGCCGACAAGACTCTCGAAAAGAGTTGGGTCGAGTCTCAAGAATGGATCCAAGTTAACCTTGAAGCTGGTAAGACAATTCTCCTCATTCAAATGACCAAAGTCAAAACTAACAGAGTTTGGACAGGTGATATTCTCATCTTCGGAACCTCTTTCGCTCATAGAAGTGGTCCCAACAACAGCACCGATGATCGTCGAGTTCTCTATGCTACCTACAACCGTGCAGTTGATGGCGACAACCACGACGCGTATTATCTTGAGCGTGCCAAGAGATATCCATCCACCCACCATCGAGTTCCCGGCATTGATTACATCAATGGTTCGAAGGATTATGCGTATGGTACACCAATGCTCACAATTGAGGGATTGGTTGAGCCAACAGTTACAAAGGAGAAAGACGGTGGAAAGGAATCTTCTGACTAACGTACCAATTGGTCGAGATGAAGCATGAATTATGATAATGAAAAAATATAATGGCATCAGAAGGCGTTCTTTGGTGTGGCGGACTTAGTTACTAGCATAGATCCTAGGGTCATTCTAGCCAGCGTTCGTTCGTGTTCCCACTTGGGTATGCTGGTTCTTTAAACCTGGCCCGAACGAGAATAATAAAGAGTCAATAATACATAACTGTCTCAATTGGTATTGTGCAACCTGATTGACAAAAATGAATTTATACGTGTCTACAAAAAGAGATAGCATCTAGGCTGAATTCCCGGGGAATCGTTGACAATTTCGCGGTGTAAAATCATAACCTTACATCAAACTGTAGCAAAATAGGAAAAGACGATCAACAAACATTTTACTCAATATGAAAAGGCGAAGATATACTTGATAGAGAGAGCAAGCTATACATGATTTTAATAATATCAGAGAGTCTATAATGAAATATCGAAAGGAAGATGGAAATTTTTTGTAGCTGCCTAGAGCCACACATTCTGACTAATAATGTAGCTTGTTCAGCCACATGGATAAGCTTGCCAAGTTAGGTAACCTCTCCGAGAACGAATAGTTTATTTCAACCGACTACCCTCAATTTCACTCATTGATGTGGCGAAAGAATAATCTGAGAATAACTAAAGTCCATGCCTTGGTGCTTGAAGCTTTTGCTTAATAACTAAATGTTGTACCCGGAGCTTTCCTCGAATGAAAAACTAAATCTCAAGGATTCCCTTCTCGTAGAAATCTCGAGAGCTGATGATGAAATTCGCGGATCAATATCGTTCTACCTAAGGCATTTGTATAATTCACACACAAATGAACTGCGCAGATATACTAGTCTTGGAGATTGAATGAACGGAAAAGCACATGCAATCCATGGTGGCAATGCGACAACTTTGATGATTTATCCATTGGAACATCGACACTACTTTCGAACTATAGCTATCACCAATGACTCAAACGATGGTTGCTGCTGGAGTCGATTTGTTCTGCCAAATTTAAATTGAGACATTGAGGATTGTACAGGTGATGATGGTAAGACTGACAGCGACTATAGAGCCAAGTCTTATATAACGACGGTCAGAATGAAGATGTTGACGGAGCCGTGTTGACAACAAGAAGAGGGATATGACCCAGGGAAAAGCTATCATAGTACTTGGTATGTTCCTTTGGCTTTAGCGTTTGTAGTTCTCACTATTATGATCTCCAGAAGCCAAGGCCAAGAGCTTATACTAACTGTTTCCTGTGCTCCAGACGCATCACTTATAATCCGGATCCCGTATCGAAGGGCTTGATTATCACATCGGTATCAAATTACTGTTTCATTGTTAAGGCTTCGTTATGTAAATTTATTGAATTGAGCGTACCTGCCCATTGAGAGTGAAAACAAACAAACATGGCTTGGAGTCAAAATGGGTAGGCAATATTTACGAGGATGGCACAAAGAAAATACATACTTCCAACACCGTTCACTTGATAGACACTACTAGCGGAAGAAACAGAAGACAAAGAAGATACGGTATCCATCTCATCTATCTCAGCCGCTCCATTCGATATCGGAGTTTTCTTTCAATCATGAGGCCATAACCAGAAAAGTGACAATAAACCCGTTACCGGAGTCCCGGACTTGAGTTTCTCAGAATGAAGGTGGTTCCGAGATTGAGATGATTCAAGGTAATTGATCTACACTCACATGCCATAATATCTGGCACATCGAGTTCCTCCGTATCTCTGGATGATCATATAATTGTGGTAAACTCAAAAGTTATGTGCTCAATCGCTCAAAGTTGAGATTCTCCTTGCTCTGTTCGATCTCTGTTATCAAAGTTGTTCATTTCAATGAATTCATCTCTCGCAATCAATCTCTTTGTTATGTGAAAGAGTGGTCCCCATTCGTGAAGGCTCTGTTGAAGAGCATCATTTCTCTTTGGTCTTGCCTATTATCACAAAGGCACTTCCGGAAACGATAAAAAGTTTTTAAGCCTTTATCCTCCATAACGATTTGACTTGCACTTGTTTTTCTTTGTGAATCTTTTGCCAACAAAACAAAGATATCAAGTCCGAGTATAGCTTTTTATGAAATAGTTTGTATTAAAATTTAAAATACGATTTGTCGAACACTTGCTCTCGTTCTTAAAATTCTTTTAAACTTTACCATCCTATGCATCACCATTAAGCTAAGATGACGGAACAAGTGATAGATCCAGCTAAACCTATCTTGACATTTAAAGATGAGGTATTAATTGTTCAGGGCCATAGACAAACATATGAACAACCAGATGAGATAGCTTTTGAAATCCTCGAAAAAGCCCTTTATGATGAGGGAAGAGGGCCACCAAGAGCTCCCAGTGGAGATCCCAAAGACACCAATCTTCTTTCATTTCAACAATTGTCCTTACTCGATCTTCAACGGTTCTTGTCATTTTGCGGTCCAGTCAACGGCCCAGATGAATCTGTGGTTTACAATGAAAGAACAGGCGCCAGTATTCTCAGAGTAACAGATGCTTATCTCCGTCAGATATGTCTATTCATAAATAGCCATTCACCAATCCGAAATACGCGCGATGATTATCCAACAGTGGCTTATTTACCTCACAACTTTTGGGCTCCACCGACTAATCCGCCCACAGAAGAATATATAGAAGATAGGGCGAAATTCATAAGGACGAAGGCACGCCTTCCACCTCAAAGACTTAGAGCTCTTACCCACTTGTTCATTCATATCACACCATTTCCGACGAATCTTGCTGTGAAACCAGACAGTGCACTGTTAGTAGTAACTCCTAGAGCGGCTACAATAGAGTACTTTGATTATATGGATCACCCTGATAAACATTATATAATAGGTGATATTATGAATGTGATATCTCGTGTGGATCCAGATCGAGATAGCACATGGCTTGAGTTCGCAGATTGGAAATGTAGAACTGGAGAGAATTGGGGAGCATATGATGTCTCGGACCGACCGCCTGTAAGATTGAGAGGAAGTCAAATTCACGTTTGCACAGATGCTCTTGGTCAAGCTTTTGGACATAATGTTCGTATGGATTACCCAATGGCTCCCGGGGAATTGATGAATTTCTATGGCAAAGTATATGATTTCGTGAACTGGAGAAAAGCAATGATTATCGCGATCGATCTTTATCTTGGTTATTTCTCAAATGTCATTACGGATCGTCAATTTAAACCTCGAGTTAAGAGAATCTTTGGTCATCGTCCATATAAGGAGGGGGATAATCAACCTTGGATAGATGATACGAGACAGAGAAGAGGGGTACTCGATGGTTACATTTCAACAACAAAGTGTTTAGAAGATTTTTATCGAGAGAGTTAGCTCAATGGAATGCATCGAACATTTGGAGAGGACTCGATGAAATGGAATTGATTGAGAAAGCTAGAATAAGAGAGGGAAATCCTAATAGGTTAGGTAGATATGATGATATGCCCACCGGAGCTGAATTAGGAGAATTTGGAAAAGAGATGAAGGGAAGAAGGACAAGAAGATTGAGGAGATGGTTAGAAGATCGAGATGCTGATGAAGGCCACAGAGTAACTCGTTATCATAAAGATACAGAGACGATCGGATGGGTAATTGGTGGAGGATTGTAATGACTTGGTGGATTGAAACAAAGGTTGTAGGGACTTGGTTCTTATGAGTCTTATCATGTATCTGATTCTTTTGGAATCATTGTTATGTAGTCTTATTTCTTCTTCCAAATCGGTTAGACCTGTGAAGCGAGCCGCAGGAATAGCGTTGCAGCTGAAATGGTATGTTTACTTAGGTATGTGGATTGTGTTGTACATCTCTAGTTCATGTAGAACATGTAACTACAGTGGTCCGTTGGCGCTCGAGCTAGCTCGTGGAAAATTCAAACCTCAATCATCTTCATACTTGATAAGCATAGGTCAAGAAGTTCTAGTCATTCATTTAATGAAGTAAGGTAGAGTTTTGGTGCACAAAGACCGAATTTCATTCGTGGTCTTAAATTGTCAATGAATTCAAACTAGTAAGCTCAATCTCCACTGACGGCGTCTCCTTGATTCTCCTAAATTATTAATCTTGAGTTACCACTCCTACCCCTATCACCACTCAATCCCACCCACCCCGGACTCTCATTTCCAGTCCCAAGACCTCCCACAAAACCCTTCCCAATGTCCAAAGTATTACTTCCTCTACCGATGTACCCTATTCCCCGACCCAGTATTTCCGCATAACTTACCAACCCAAGTTTGACAGCATCTTGTATCATATCCATTGTATCGTGTACTTTGAGTGCCCTTTTGTATTTTTGTTTTAGAAGTGGATCAGAAGGTTTACGTAAATGTATGGTATAGGTTTGAAGAATTGCAGAAGAGTATTTGGTGCAGAGACCGATGAGATGGCCTATGGATGAAGTCGTATAGTCGACGGAGTCACGGGTAAATGTCGTGTAGATTGGATTTGGGGCTTGGCTTGTGTCGGGATCAGATAATTCGAATTGAAATGAGGTGGTCTTGGGTATGAGTTTGCCGTCCTTGAATTCTTTCCCAACTATATCTAGAAGTTTCGATATGTGCTGATCATCCTCTGGTTTCCCTTAGCTTTATTGCTCTATATCATCTTTTCTTTGGAGGAGTTGTATACTTACTATAGATAATAATCCCTTTATGAAATCTTGAACTCTCGGAGTAACTAATTAGAAAGAAGACATCCACAAAGCCTATAAGTCGAAGTCGGCCAGACCAGCGATCTCCGTTGATGAGGATTTCCCATGGGTGTATATCACTACAGAGGTACTCAATGAGGGATACGACCATGGAATTACTCACTTTTGAGGAAAGGAAATAACGTACCAATCACATTGTAATGCTTTATCTTCAATTGATCTGCCAAATACTTTGAGAATTCGATGATATGAAGCCATTCTTGCTCAATCAGCACATCAACCTACTGAGATTCCTTCTTAAAGAGGTGATAATGGTTTTCTATACGAAATATTTATTAATCTAACTCTAAGAATACCAGTCCCTACCTATGCTAGCATCCAGGATCAATGCTTCCGATATCATCGGCACAAACGAAGTTTCACATCAAGGGACTCGACCAAGTGCCGAAACGACAAGGGCTTCGTATATGAATTATATATCACGCATTGAATCCAGAAAACTTTTTACATTGATAGCCATTGAATTAATAAAGCTATGCTTTGGGAAAGGTGGCTGGCTGAGAAACTAAATCAGGGGTGATGTTCTGCAAGACACGTGTAGAGGAGTTCCCGAGAACGTGGGGTGATTGGAGGGGTAAGATTTCAATATCGCAATTGTCTCAGCGCCGTTATAAGGAAACTATCGCAATGTCTTTTTGACGGCTCATGGCGGATAGAATGAAATATGATGAGATAACTGATTGATCGATTTTTGAGAGGGTGTCTTCGAATCTCGATCGTAAAAAAAGCATGTGATATTTCTGCTGGCTACTTCTAAGACGTGAAGTTTATCAGAATGCCTCATTAGAGCTTTCGTTACGGGATTCCTGTCTTCAAACTGCCAGTTCCTGTATTCTTTTCACATTAATTCTCTTAGCAAGCTGGCTATTAGATATTAAAATGACTTCCTGGGCAGACCAGAATGATTTACTTCGTTTTGGAAAAAGAATTCTCGATACAACAGGTACACCAACACCAACCGAGAAATCTCTCATTTCCTCACTCGCTAGTGCTACGGGCGTAGGTTATAATGTTGCTCGGAATGCCTACGTCAAATCTGTACTTGATCCTTTGTTACAAGACAAAGTTCACAAATCAATGAAATGGATTATCAATTCCAATTTTGTACCGGAATTCATTGATCCAAAAGAGAATGGCACAGGCTTGGATGATGATAGTTTTGAAGAAGAAATCATTGACCCGGCAATCTTGAGTGCGGATGGAGTGCCAAGTCCTAAAAGGATGTTTAACCTTGACACGGGGAATGTGGAAGATTGGCCAAGTGGGCAATATGTAATATTGAGTCACAGCTGGAAAGGACAAGAAATTACGTTTTCGTTTCTTCAAGAGGTCAGGGAGAACGCGAGGAAAAGAGAAGTCTATGAGATGATACGAGATTCTCATGATGAAGACGAGGATGCAAAACGATTCGCCAGTTTCCAAGTTAAGAAGTTTGGTCATTTAAAAGCAGGCAAGAGTGACGTAGAATTACTCGCTGCTCAATGCAAGAAAGATGTCGATGAGCACATCAAGAAAATTGACAATATCTTGAGTCGTTCTGGAAAGGAATCAGATTACTCCAATGCAGGCACTTTTCTCGCGGATTTCACCGAGTTTAAAGAAGCTACTTCCGAAACAACGAGCTTTCGAAAAGAACTCATCCCAAGGAGAAAAGGTGTGGAGGTGAAAGAACTGGCAGACAAGAATCTGGATAAGGAAAAGCAAGACATGGGAGTCGATGATTCAGAAACATCAATCGAAAACGAGGCAAATATAACCAATAGTCGGAACCATAGCAACAAGTCATTGAAAATCGATTCAATCCTTCCTGACCTTGAAGACAAGATGCGACTTGCCGAAATGAGACTCGAAAATGCAACAAGGAAGTACACCATACTTAACAAAATTCCCGGTCTACTTTCCGCAATAGAGGACTTCCTCCCCATCTTGGAGAGGCGAAAGTCTATGTATAAAATTGAAAACTCTATTGGGGAAGCAAAGAGAATTCTTCGTTCTGGCCTTTTCCCCTCCAATGGCTGTAAACAGTATCTCTGGAACGATACCATCTGCATCAATAAAGGTGACGCGAATGAGCAAAACGAATCACTTGCCATGATGGGACAGTGGTACAATAACGCAGACTTTTGTTTGGTACATCTCGACACATCAAGCTCAACAGAATGGGTCAGTACTTGGCATAGTATCAATATGGATTCTCCTGGTACATGGGCTTGTGATGCAAATTTCACCAAATTTGAAGACGTGAAGTCACCGAAATGGTCGACTAGAGGATGGACTTTGCAGGAATTGGTCCTAAGTAAGATGGCGTTTTGGGTAAACAATCTTTGGGAGCCTTTACCTAGAGTTGTAGAAGGTTTGGGACCATATTACTATCATTGTTATTATCTTCAACAGCATATACGCGAGCAAGATATAACCAATGCGCCTGAAGAAACAAAATCTTTCCTTTCAAGCTTGGGAAATCTTAAATCACTCATGGATACCGGTGAGAAGGTGCGTATAAACGCCAGGTTCCCATGAGACCATGTCTTCAACCAGAGCTTCAGATAAGTTAACAAAAACATAGATCCCTTATTTCAATTCAACAGAAGACTTAGAAGAGTCAAGAAGAATTATTGGTATTCTTAGCTACCTCGGAGTTCAATTTCCAGGAGAAATGAACGACGACAATTCAGGAGCCTATATTCGGGACACAATATCTCGGGCAGCGTATAATATTGAATCACGAATCAATGTGGAAACACCCGCCGCTGAGAGCCTCCCGGAAACTATTCACAATTCTTGGTTTCAATTTGAATCCCAATTCAATTAGAGCTCAAGCAAGGACTTTGATCAAAATTTTGATCAGGACCTTAGTCGATTATTGTGCCCTTGCTATTGAAGCAGATCGAAGTAAAATCTCTGGCTTCACCAAGGTACCTCCACCTGAGTGCTGTCGTGGACTTAGCAGACCAACTCTTCCAGCTCACGATACCTTGTCATTAGCATCATACCGAGAATGTACCGTTCCTATTGATAGAGTTTACTCACTTGTGGGAGTTCTCGGTGTAAAATTTTCAGCTTTCCATGCAGAAGGTCCAACCAAAGCACTTTATCGGCTACTTGATGAAGTCGTTATTACTACCAATGATGTCTCAATCTTTAATTGGGCGGGTATAGATCTTGGAAGCCCAATCAGAGGACGATCTCTATATCCGTCGAGCTTGAATGCCTTTAGTCCAGAGAAAACGGAGAATTATTTCACTTCGAGGAATGGTGAATTAGCGAGCGCGTCCAAGGAAAATAGATATAGATTGCAAGATACAGCATCTAAAATTACTTTAATATTGCGTCGAACCATTGACTTTGTCAAAAGAACAGCTCATCAAGACATTCCAGTCGGATTACTCCAAACTTTTCTCAAATTTATTGAGGATATTAGCTTGAAGAAACTTAGGCCTCAATTGCATCACCTTGGGAAGCTAGTAGTTTACCTCGAGAATACTACAACCTTTGAGAAGTGCAAACCAAAGATTGGCTATAGAACTGAGAAAGAAAAGGTACAAAAAGCGCTTGTTCGTGAAGAAGAGAAACCAGCAAACCAGACTAACGGGACCGTGGCTTCGAGGTTTGGGTTTAAAACACCCCGAAGACCTCAAATACCACAGATGCCACAGATATCACACATTTCCGCACCGAAGCGCAATATAGGACTCGGAGGATTTAGCAGAAAGGCAAAGGAACCAGTGGCCCCCATGAACGAAACTGTGGATGCTCCACCAGTCCTTCACGTCGAGCCAGAAATTTCAGCGGCCGATTCTCCAACGGAAGAGGAACCAAAAAGTTTGATCGATGAGGTGAATCATTGGATTTCTCAAGATCAAGATATCAACAGCATTCCGAAAGAACTCCAACCACTCTTTGATGAGATCAAAGCTCCCAAATTAAATGGTCCTCCCATGGGAAAACGTCAAAAGCCACAGGGAAGCCAACTCTTAGGTTCTAGTATGATATGTCCAAATCCAATCATGCTTACAACTTCTGGTATTGAAGCTGTCTTTGATATTCAAAGGGTCATAATCGAGATGCAAAATCCTGAACACCTTCGATACCAAGTACAGAGCGCTGTAAATGATGGTCAAAAGATAAGCGGGCATTGTACAATCAGTACTGCACTGTCTATGATAAAAGTGAATTTTACTTGTGAGGTAGGAGCCTTGAAAAAACAATTAGACGTTTGTGATGTGGTTCAGAGAGCTCTGTCTGACCTAGAGGAGAAGAGAACATTCGGTCTACTAAATTCCAGACCAGCTCTTACCAGAGGACAAGAAAGTGATAGTTATTACAAGAAGCTCACCTCGTTATCCTCTGGTTTGATGGGTAAAGTGCCTGAAAGTGTCGATTCCACAGGAGAACAAAACCAAAACGCCTCTACTCCAGATCTCGCAGCTCAAGTTCAAGCCTTAGGCGAGAATTCAGAACAACTTCGTGTGGTTCGTATGTTGGATTTTGTCCAAGAAAACGATATAAACCAGATTGTGGGTGAATGGGTTCTTGCCAGGTTTACAGGCGTCGAAGGGGCAAAATGGTTCCTATGTCAATTGGAATTGGGGTCAACTCACAGTTACTATGGACGACGAATCGCTACAGATAAAATTGACTTCGAGAACGTTGTACCTGAACCTGGACTGGTGGATCACTGGGAAAGCTATATGAAAAACAAGAAAAACGAACTTTGTCGTATTGTAAATGTGTTGGTTCAGGGACGGGTAGCTCGACAATACGCGGACTCAGTTACCAGCTCGGAGATCAAAATCGAGATTGATGATGATTCAGATCATGAGGGTGCAGATAATAAAGAAAAGCTCAAAGACTTTCTCTTTAGGAGAGGGACACTCATTGGCGCCGAACTTGTACAAACACTCACCGATATCTGGGGTGAAAGATTGGATGCAATGTTGAATGATACTATTCTTCAACAAGTTCCAAAAAGACTCAGAGCTGCCATCATGAATTTGAACGAGAATGAGGATTTATTACCAGCTATGTTTCTGAGTGGAATTCAGGTACATATGTTCTAGATACAAAAAATTTGCTTGGGTATTCTAATATGAAGATTGTTTATGTTCGTACTCGTGGTCATTTTGATGTTGCGAACGAAAAACTATGAATTTCTCAGCCACAGTGGCTTGACGGATATTGTTCATATCATGTGTATGAGTCTAGGTACCTAGTTGTATGTTTGTAGGTTCATAGACTCGTACTTTGACCAATAGCATTCCCCACGTCGGGTAGAAGATCCACCAACCAGCCCGGACTTCTAAATTCTCACCACAAAGTCGGGAAGAATTTCATGATTAACCTAGCCCAACCACCCTGTCACGACATCGAGATTCAAAACATGCGAAAGTCCCATTGACGCTTTTCAATGAAAAGTCTAAACATTATATCTATTGGTATCAGGTAAGTATCAGTAATATTGATTGAATTAGTGGTATATGAGGTTATCATCTCGACACCTGGCTAGGTAGCATCTGGAAAGATTCAGACTGAGATTGAGATGTAGATGTGAACATATCATAGTAGGACACGATTTGAGAAAAGAAATCTCGTGATCAAGTACGTATAACGATGCACGGCGTAAGGATATTTCTCACCGTGTGCTTGTGGGTCGATGTGGATATTCTGTCTCAGCCCTTTTGTGTAAGCCTGAAAAGCCACAAAGTTGGGGGTTTAACAAATTTGAATGGCCATTATAAGCTTAATTTGAATGCCCTGGACCCTCCATTTTAACCCTGACCTGCATACATATCCGGTAACCAATACAAAAGTGATGTACTGATCTATATACGCCGTTGGGTTATTTCCATTGCCGCTCTGAACTGCAGTTATCATGGATTTACTTATTGCTTATTCTTTCTCTCGAGTATTTGTGGATAGGGGCTCCATATCCATAGCCCATTGGTCCCTCAAGCTCACTGTAAGCGCCAGCTTCTTACGTGAGGACCTATCTTTGCATTTCCACCATTTTGAAATTCCAAAACCATTCAAATATCTGGACGACCTTAAGAATTAGTCGTAACTCAAAGATCGACTTTTCTCTTCAAGAATCCCATCAAAACCATTCTGGTGTCGACCACAACGTTTCCAGCTTCTCACTCGTGAAACGGGAAGCTTTCCGGAGAAACAACGGTGACACAAAGACCTGCGGCATCGACCTACCCAGTAATTTCGTCATCATGGTCGACGTTGTATCTATCATCATCGCCGTCGTTTCTCTCCTGGGTTCGCTCGTGGCAGCAGGTTTCACAGGATGGATCTCATATTACTTGGACCAAGCCAAACAACGTAAAGCCACCAAAGCTTTAATTCACAAATATCGAGACCCTCTCACACTTGCTGCATATGATCTTCAATCTCGAATTTGGGGTCTTGTAAATACATTACTTGACTATTATGAAGATGAAGAAAAGCAAGAGAATATATATGTCTACACCGCCTTTTTGATCGGACAATATCTCTCATGGACGTATATTCTACGTCGACAAGCACAATTCATGCAATTTTCAACGGAAAAAACAAATCAAAAACTCAATAAAATCTTGGATGCTATTACGGAACAATTCAGTTGGGATAGACACGCAGGAGAGGATCCATTTATGCTCTGGCGCGGACAACAGATGGCCATCGGAGAAGTAATGACTATTGCAGAAGAAAAGGAACAACTTTATTGCATGGGATTTGCTGCTTTCTCGAAAAAATATCATACTGACGCGGACTTTAAAAAGTGGTTCCTACCAATTGAAAGGGGTGTCAATATGCTTGTGGATGCACGCCGACGACAAGATCCTATTGCGACTTTCAGATTGCGTCGATTACAACATCTTTTGATTGATTTAGTCCTTCTATTGGAGTTTCATCGTGCAACAAATGGACCAAATCCGCAATTGAAGGTTGATGCTGCTGCATATGAATGCAAGTGCGAGAATTGTCCTGGTGCTCTTGTGCCACATCCGACTGAAAAGCTACCAGTATAATGCTTTGATTTGGCAGTGTTAAATGTGCGTTTTCCAGGAATATGCATAGTACCAGCTACCTTGGATGACTCTAGGGAGGGAGATATCGGTGATTGGTGGTTTTCGAAAGACTTGACGATAAAGACGACAAGAGGAGAATTCCATTCAATTGATCGATATGAATCCACATGCTTCAGCGATTGCAGTCGATGTTGTCGATAATTCTCATGAAGATAATTGATGTGGAACAATACGAAATTATGATGAACATGGTAGTTTGCACACATTGTGTTATGATGGATTTTGAGGAGTTGGTGATTTGCTGATTTGAGATAAGATACCCAAACATAAGGGAATGAAGCGCATTTCAATATATAGACAAATGACTTGCTTGGATACCTACGTAGACGTGTATCAGTATTATTTCGGTGACAATTCAAGAGTGATATCAGAGTCTTCGTACATGTAATTGATGAGTTACGATATACCGGCACAAGAAGAACAACACTTAGGTGCTCAGGTACTAGACGAGCACTGTTTTGGAAGCCCGGAAGCTTTTAACTGCGCTTGCGAGATATCTACAGAATATATGCTTATGTAACCTCGAAATTTCCCCGCCATCCATCTTCAAGGTCAGTAACGATTCCGATATTCACCCGGTCTTGTACGGTTCTTAAGATTGTGCAACAAATAACCCTACCATCTTGTATCATGTGACAATCACATATCAGGACTCCAATTAGTGGCAATCTTTCGAAGCTACATACGACATTTTATACGAGACAGTAGACACTCTTCATTCTTCGGATCATTCAACAAGCGAATCTATTATAGGCTTGGGCATTTCAATTGACCACTAGTTAGAACCACAATAGTTAGTTCTTCTTATTGTGAATGAGAAGCACGATATTGTTGTGCCCGTGTATAATTTCAATACTCCAATCAGGGACCACAAGCTCTACATTTTCGTTCCAGCAAGGCTCCATCTTCTTTAGGGAGGAATTAGAAGGTACATCTTCGATGTGATGATTCCTCGTTCTCTCCGCAAGTCCCCGGCACGTTCGTGATCTGCGGACACTTTGCCGAGAGATTTGCTTCTAAGGTTACTGAATGCCTTTTTCTTCAGGTTTTAGATCGCACAACAATCGCAATGTCCAACCACGATAGATTCCTATGCTGATACCAGTACGGGTAGATCCAGTGGGAATTCAGTTTGAATTCCAATTTTTCGTATCCTTTGGTTAATCCTTTCACAGCTACCAAGTATTCATGTGCGAGTCATCAAGAAGTTTCTTCGATAATACAATTATCCACAAGTGGACTCACAAGATTGCTTGTGGTGGCATCGGAATGACTTTCAAGGTTTTCTTAAGTGGCAGGTGAAGCGATTTCTCGTGCTCCTTGATATCACCAAGTACTCTATTCAACAGCCGAGCATGATATTTCTACAAGCGCAGCTAGGCAATATCTTCATGGATCTCCCCAAATCATTTTATGCCAGTGCTGCTCTGTTCTTGATGTTCGAGGCGATTGTTCCAGGGGAACAGCAAGCTCTTTATCAAATGATAGACAACGTTCTTTAGATTATGTGGATGAGTAAACAATCTTTATAGGGTGATGCAAAATGCTTTTTACTCACACTTTCTGGGCCATATCTTATATTTAGTACCTTTAATAAGGCTCAGAATGAAGATTACAAGGTGCGTGATAAGCTTTCTTTGATTCACCAATTTCTGAAGCTGGCAATTCTACCCTTCTATCCTTGCGGGATCAGCAGTCAGCTTGACTCCTCTAATTATTGGGCACTTGCGAGTAAACGGAAAAATAGAAGTAATTAAAGGCACCGGCTCATCTGAAATTATTTTAATGAACAACTGAATTCAAATTTCTCCCTTATTTTCGCCAACTATTTAATCTGTAGGTGTCATATCCTACCTACCAAGATATCAACCAGGTCTCCAAGGGGACTTTCCCTCGTAGTTTACTAAAGAATTATGGGCTTACGGCTTACTCTGTTCTTAGTGTACGAGGTTTACCCCACAATCCCATATTCAGATATATCATGCGCCAATACGAGTCGATCTCTTCCTTTCACGGATATCGTAAGGTTACTCCGCATTAACCCAAAGTCTTGCATCCCCAGATATTCTATGCTTACTTTATTACAATGTTTAAAATGAAGTGAGAGCCGGTGTAGCTTGGATAGGTTTTCTTGAAGTCATATTCTCGTCAATATGAATTTTATCCGACGTCAATGGCTTGCGTTGTTCTTTTCCTCCACAATATTAATAGTCTTTGTAAAAGCGACGACCACACAATCTACTCAAGGCTTAATCAATCTCTTGAAACGAAGACTACCTGCTCATGTTGATGACTTTGAATTTCAAATACAAGGTAATCATACGTTAGGAGTGACGCATGACGAATATGTTGTATCTCAAACTGTTGCTGGAAAGATTTTGATTGAAGGCAATTCAATAAGTGGTATTGCTAGTGGGTATGTAATTCATATCAAGTTTGTGTGTGGCTTTCTAATCCGTGAGATAGGTTACGCAAATACTTTACAGATATTTTGCATGTAGATATCTGGTGGTATATTGGTTCCCAATTACATCTTGCTCCGGAAAGTTTTCCAACTTTGAATTCAACCTTGAAAGGATCAAGTATTGTACCATGGCGATATCATTTCAATACTGGTAGGTGCAATAATTTCCTTCTAAACGGGTTCCATTTAACAATCACAAGCGCATTAAATAATGAACATATCTTGATAAATATTTTCCAGTCACATTCTCATACCAGGCCGCCTTTTGGACATGGGAAGATTGGGAACTTCAATTAGATTGGATGTCCCTTCACGGTATCAATCTCTCTCTTGCTTGGGTAGGTTATGAGAAAACATTACTTACCACACTCCTTACTATTGGCCTCACCACTGATGAAATACTTTCATTCTTCTCCGGTCCTGCTTTTCAAGCTTGGAATCGATTTGGAAATATTCAGGGATCTTGGGGTGGTACTATTCCACTTGCTTGGATTGAAGATCAACATCTTCTTCAGAAGAATATCGTACGAAGAATGGTAGAATTAGGTATTACACCTGCTTTACCTGCTTTCACTGGTTTCGCGCCAAGAGAATTGAGAAGGGTAGCACCTGATGCAAATATCATTAATGGAAGTGATTGGGGAAATCTTTTCCCAGTCGAATATTCAAATGATACATTTCTTTACCCAACCGATCCTCTTTTTACGACTCTACAACATACATTTCTCAATCTTCAATCCGAATATTATGGAAACATTTCTCATGTCTATACACTCGACCAATTCAACGAAAATACCCCTGCATCTGGAGATCTCATATATCTAGGCAACATATCACGTGGAACATACGAATCTCTCCAATCTTTCGATCCAAATGCTATTTGGATGTTACAAGGGTGGCTTTTCTACGCTGATTCATCATTTTGGACACGGGATCGAGTCGAAGCTTATCTTGGTGGGGTTTCGAAGAATGAGAGCATGTTAATACTCGATCTCTTTTCTGAATCATTTCCGGAGTGGGAAAATACAAATCAGTATTATGGAAAACCATGGATTTGGTGTCAAGTACGTGGTTACGGCGGTACTGTTGGTGTATATGGTCAGATATATAACATCACAAATTCCTCGATTGAAGCATTGCGGAAATCGGATAAGATGGTTGGAATGGGAAATACGATGGAGGGACAAGATGGTAATGGATTGATGTATGAATTAATTTTGGACCAAGCTTGGAATCTTAACTCTATCGACACTGAGAGTTACTTTAAAACTTGGGTAGCAAAACGATATCACACCGCTGGATACAAGGAACTACCATCGGAAGCATACTCAGCATGGGAAATTCTCCGCACAACGGCTTACAACAACACAAATCTGACTCTTGCAGATAGTCTTCCAAAATCCTTGTTGGAGACGCAACCTAACATTAGCGAAAACCATGGAAGATTGGGCCAGTCCTTGACAATCGATCTGTATAACCCTGCTGATTTATTTCGGGCATGGAGACTATTGTGTACTGCATCGGTATTAGTTCCAGAACTCTGGGATGATGATGGATGGCAATTTGATATGGTGGATATCACGAGAGAAGTTCTTGCAGAGAGGTTTAAATTGGAATATGTGAATTTGATTCAGAGATATAGAGCAGGGATTGGTTTTGAAGGGACGACCAAGACCCTGATTGGGATTCTACAGAGCCTGGATAGTGTTCTATCTACTTCTCCTCATTTCAGGTTGGATACTTGGGTGAATGCCGCGATTGCTTCTTCACCGGACACTTCTACATATTCCTCTCTTCGATCATCTCATAATTCTTCGATATCAAATCTTACCCAAACGCAACACTTCTTCGCCTACAATGCTATCAATCAAATAACCATCTGGGGACCAGCAGGAGTAATTAATGATTATGCATCTAAGAGTTGGGGAGGTCTTGTACGTGGATATTATCTGAAGAGATGGAAGATGTTTTTCGACTACATTGGGAAAGTTGGGTTTGAGGAATTCAATGCGACAGAAGTGGCAAGGGAATTGGGGGATTTTGAGTTGGGCTGGCAATGGAATGGTTGGGTTGGTGATTTAGAAAAGGGCAATGGAGATGGTGATGTAGAGAATGATGGAACGGATTTGAGAGACTTGATTGAGAATTTGATCAAAGAAGGTAATGGCAAGAGTAACTTCAACTAATCAGGATTTCCATAGATTGTCAATAATCATCGGACAACAATCTACTCTTTCCAATATTAAAAGACTCTTCTCACGACACGACGAGGGTCATGATGACATTATCTTCCCAATCCCAAGAGTGAAGAATGAAAACCAAATGTTCTAATTTATTGCTGTCTATCGTTCATTATAATTTGGACCTTTCCTCGGCATTCCTTTCCACAGTAGTTATTCACTCAAGACACGTCATAATTTCGTGTTGGCTCTAGTGAATTTATTGCTCTTAGGAATTGTAGATCCCTCACACAATATTTAATTCAATGCTTCCCACCCACAATTCCTTTTGCATATTTCATTATCAACCCACCAATCTCAGTACCCCAACCACAATACCTTCTAAAATCGCGAGCCAAATATTTTCAAACTCTTTACCATCCTCCTTCTTTATCAAAACACATCTCATTATAATTTCCATCGACATTCTGTCTCAGATATTACCTCTGCGGATTGCCATCAATCTAACTAGAGCCGTCAAAGTCAGTCAAAGTAACAGCACGGCAGCGCAAGAGCAGCAACAGCGGAAAGGAAGAGACTCTTCAACGGTACTCGATCTTCTTTCGCATATAAAACTCTAGTGGTTTCGTTCGAGGCGTCTAGTCTAGACCACTCGAGGTGACTAGTACCTATTTTGACTGTAGGATGACACTTCTTGAATCTCGAAACTTATATAAAGCTTACATATCGTCAGGGCAGGCAGCTTAACAAAACTCAAATCGACACCAGGACGAATAAGAGACGTTCATCACCGTCGGCAGTCGAAACGTTGGTGAGAAAAGAGGGGAATGAAAGAAAACGAATACCAATTCCGAACATCATAACTCCAATCAAAGCCTTCGAGAGCATGGAAGAGATGGAGAACAAGGTGACAATACAAACTGCTTCACTTCAATCCCAGGATTTGCTCAATATGGATATCGACTGCCAAAGATTGAAGTTGCCACAAGAAATTCTCCGTGTGATTTGCTCTCACGTTAGTCTACACGAACTTTCAAAACTTAGATTTGTCTCAAAGGACTTTTCTAATGCTGCAGCAACTTATTTTTTCAAAGACATATCATTCAAATTCGAGGCTTCATCATTTCAAAACTTATTGAATATCGCCTGTCACTCTAACTTACGACGTTACGTTTCAAAGCTCACGTATGTGGGTCAATTTATAGACGATGATGGAAGGGATGACTATTGGAGTCCACAACATGCTGAGTATCACTTCTTACATCAATACGAGCTGGCAGAGGCTTTAAAGCGGCTGTCAAGTCTCAATACCATTCGAATTGATACGATATTCTGCGTCATGATTCCTGATTCCTGATTCTTCCTCTCCCACAAACGGATCATTTAATACATTTTGGAACTTTCTGAAATCAGCACTTGGTAATGTATCCAACTTAAGAACGATAGAAGTAAAACCACCCAGATTCGAACCCAATATTCACGAACGCGAACGAAGTCTTACATCGTTTTCTAAGCCGGAGATAGAAAAACTCGAAAAGTTGAAGAATTTCTACCTTTTGGTCAACAAATTCCTCGTTCCTCAAGTTCCCACGTTTCTTAATTGCATGAAAAACCTCAAGTCACTTTCCTTGGGACAAGCAACTGGGGCTGACGTTGAATTTCAGTATTGGCATGATGCGAGAGATTTTTCACAATTGGTCAACCCAAGTACAACGTTTCCGTCATTGGAATCTCTGGAAATCAACGATTTGTATTTGAACGAGCAGTATTTCCAAGAATTTTTACTCAATAACGTAAATTCTTTGCGTTCACTCAAGCTTCGCAATGTGAAGATTGAAATTACCAAGAAAGACTTAGAGTCCAAGGAATATCTCAAAAGTAATTCATGGATTCGAATGTTCTACTTTTTCGCCCAATCATTAAATCTAAAGGAAATTAAACTGGGTGGAAATTTGCTTACATCATGTTCAGGACATTGGAGTTCAGACTGTTATTGTGAAGATGGTTGCAAACATTGTAATTCATCGAGTTTGATGTTGACCCTTCAAGATTTCATTACACATGTTGAGGGTTCGTCATTTCCTTTGCCACATCCAGATGAAGACCTTAGCAATGTGGATATGAAAGAGTGCTGCTTTAAAACCGGATTTGGTAACCACACTGACACAACGGATCCTGTATTTTATTGGCATCCGAAAATGGAGAGGAGAGGAAGTATTCGATTATTGGAAAAGGAGCCATTCAAACCTTCTACCTTCAAAGCATTCATGTCATGGACTGAGTCAGAGTCAGATTCGGATTCAGAGTCAGATGATGATAGAGAGGAGGAAGAGGGGGAAAAGGAAGATGGGGAGGAGGAAAAAATTCCGAACAGACCAGAGAACAGCTCCCCACGACACTCCGCATTCGATTACACCGTGACTCAAATCCGAGCCAACAGAAATCTATGGATCGATGAGGAGAAAACTTCGTTATTGTATACCTTACTAGAGGGGTTTACAGAAGAGGATGAATGATCAGTGGGTGCTGCTATGGGGCCTCGATTTGAAACTCACTGAATGTCTAGAATGCAATCTCCAGAGGAGGAGCACTCCTAACTTTGCTTCTATGCAGTCATATAAGAATCTTATGATTTTCCGGCCAGAAGGAGAAGGGATCTTTTTAATGTTATTGGGGTCCATAGTTCTCGCTTCCTTTGCAAAACTTTACATGTTTATCTTGTTTCCGTTATGTTCATTTTTGTAATCATTGTCATCTTCAATGTCTAGGATATATCTATCAAGGGAAGGGAAAAAAATTTCTGGTTTGACTTGGTCTTTTGATGAGGGAATCATGATTGCACATCAAGAGCAACATGATTGACTCTTTCTTTTTCTATTGACACTTTTCAGAATGTACAGGATAATCAAGGGCTGCGGGAATTGGACACATGGATCATTATGAACATCTTACTAGAAAATCAAGATCGAGCAAAGCATAGCGATTCAAATCAATGGATCATCATATTTTACCAAGATCTCTTCCGCTGCCTTTTGTATATTTTATGTCTTGGTTCCGTACCTATGATTTAATGTGTGAAATCATCTTCCTTTGGAAACTGGCTACTCATTACGAAATGAAAATGCAACAGATACGGGAGATATTTTGGATGCAACTCTCGAGCGCAACTAGGTACAGTATACTACAAACAAGTTACGGTGATTTCTGCGAAGCACACTGAGACTTTACTAATCATAAATTTTGTAATTGGCTTTTCTGCACGTCCGAGAAGACAAAATACAGTCTTGTATTACCCTTCAAGGGTGAAACGAGCATTGACAGTATACGCAGATAGAGAGCCGTATTAGTTTACGCTAGTCCACACTAACTGATAGTAATCATTATTACGGCACCTAACGCGCATCCATGACAATAATACGGCATGAAATTAAGAATTTTCTCCTTGTTCTCGATGTATTGAGTCTTGCTTATACGTTCAGCTTTATTGTATGATCAAAGGTACATAGTCAACTTTCCCTCCCAGTCGTGACTTACTTTCTTCTCATTCTCACAAGAATTGCGTGGACAAAACACTCATTCTACGGAAGAAATCCTACCAAGCAACTCAATTTGGTATTAAGTTAACAAAAACGTCTATTATCATCCAGCCGACGATATTGACATCTCTCTATCATTCCTAGAGCATACAAAATCTGAAAACATGGTTCAATCTACCTATGATACTCTGTTCAACAAGAACATGACTTCTACCGGACAATTGTCAACTACCCCAGTTGTCACAAAGGCCAAGTTTCTTGATTGGCAAAAGAATGTTTTCTCTCAATTAAGTATTTTCTATCCACTATTATAATTTAAATCATACTAATAAATCTTCTTAGACTCGGAAAGCAAATGATCACAATCACCGCCGGCGCCCACGAACAAAGATTCCTAATTCACGCAGACCTCATTACTCTTCAACCTCGTATCTTCCGTCGTCTTCGAATATCTAGGTCAGTTGATACAGGTCTGTCGTCAGGGTGGTTTGATATATACCGACCTATCTCATGCTCCGTGTTTGTCCGCCTTCTTCAATTTGCCTATCATGGGAAATTGTTCCCTGGGATTTCGCTCGATACATGATGGCATCTATACCTCTTTGCCAAGAATAGTAAAGCCTTCGAACTGGAAGATATCATCATGAATCGAATTCTGCCTACGCATCAATCTGATAAACAATTGTTCCCGGAGCCAAGACATATTGAACTTGGATATAATCATACCAAGGAGAATTCCGCCAGGAGCAAGTTTCTTGCTTTATGTTATGCTGCTATGATGCATGTTAATACACAGCTCTCCTCAACTTCTATCTACGATAAGGAGGTTCTAATAAAGTTAGGAAAGAAGTGCGACGGGCTTTTAATTAATGTCGCTAATCTCACGAATGGGAAGGGTTCTATAAACATCTCAGAATGGGATCCTGGATATGCTCCTGAATGCTTGTATCATCATCATGCATGGCGAGTAGAATGTCAAAATCTCAGTCGAAAGGAATGAGGAAACAGAGGGGAGGATTGGGGCGGGCTTAGTTTTTATCCACGCTTTCATCACTTCCGGTGGAGTTTCCTTCCGGGTCTTCTTCTTGGCATCCTTGCATCTTGTAACGGTTTCCTTTGCGATATCTCCAGTAGCGTTTAAAGGTCGATGAAGTTCTTCCAGCTCCGCAATATCTTCCTCTTTTCTTTCTTCAAGTGGATTTTGTTCATCCCCGTTATTCAAATCCTCAAGCTCCAGGATCTCGTCCGCCTCTCTCTGTTTATACAAACCATACCTGGCAGTATCGTCGATGGCTCCACTTGAATTTAGGGCCTCGTCATTTATCCAGAGCGGTTTGATTGCCGGTGTAAATTTCGCACTCCTCTGTCTGGTTTTAATTTTCTTGTGGCAATGCCAAAACGCCCGTGATGTGACGAGACCTCGGTGCCAATTTTCCCTCGAATGAATCTCTCTCAGATGGAAAGCTGTATCATTCGGAAAATGGTAGGAATAGGCAGTGATGATCCTGTGAATTGCGTGAAGATAACAAAAGTGTCCTGATTCCTCCCGATTTTCGTTCATTCCCAACATAGCGTGAGTGATTGAAAATGTATCGCCAGTGACCAATGCCTTGTGCTCGGATGTTAATGCCGTCAATATCTTGAAAAGTTGTGTCGTTTCGAAATCCTTCGTAGCTGGTGTCGCGCCTTCTCTTGATCAACATCCAAACGCATTTCCTTTTCCTTTCAACGAATCATCAAGAAGTCACCTTAATTCATCCTCGTCTTTCAACCACTTGATCAATACACCCGTTGTTTGGAAATGAAGGTAGTCTGCAACGGTACCCATGGTCTCCGGTCGTACTCCAGCCACCATCACCCCTGCAGGATTTCTTCGACTCGCATCTTGTATCTCTCTTTCGATATGGCTTGGAGAGTACGTTGGTGGAGTGAGTGGGTCAAAGAAGCCAAAGTTCGTGTTCGCAGGTTTCTTTGACTTGCGAGGGTTTTCCTTATACCTCACTTACCATATACCTATCATTTATAGTATCGCTCTATCGTTGTGGATTTTCTAACTTTCGTTCTTCAAGGTGTTGAAGAATCAAGGTCGGGTACCGGTGAAATTTCATTCTTTCTATTTTCGGTAGAATGGTATGAAAATTTTCAGGTTGGTACATGGATAACACTCTCCAAATTTTGAGAACTTCTCGCTCATTGATAAGAGCGACACCACTTGGAAAACAGCAAAACATACATAAAATTCTCACAAGTTACTTTCGAATATGGCATCAGAAGAGAAAACAAGAATACCTAAACCATTTCCACAACGTCCTCAACCTCGACACGAAAATCCACACGAGGAATGCTTAGGAGTCAAAGGACTACCACCTCAATCGGCTGAAATGTTATGGGCATTAGATCAAGGTCTTTATTTCGTGGCTCTTAGCATTATGAGAACCGATGCGTATGGTATTGAATTCGGTCAAAGTGTCTTTAAAGGGTCCAATTCACCCATGGAAAACATAATTAATGTACTCGTTTTCATGTCAAAGGACCTCCTTCATCAAGCAATTACCGGCAAATTACACGAATCTCTTTATAATGCTTCCAAAGACGCAAAATTACCAGAGTTTTATGCAGTTACACTTTATGGTCCAGAAAAAGCGCAGGATCGTCCTGTGGTTTATACTCTCGTACATTGTAATCATCTCGGAAAACCACCTACCAAGAATGAGTATGTTGAAGTTTCGAGGGATAAGAAAAAGTACTTTTCAACATACTACCAAGCAGAGTGGCGGGCTGTTTCTGATAAATTGGCCAATGAAATTGATTGTACCAATCCAATAATCGAAGGTAGAGATTGGGTAGAAGGAATAGGGAAAAGGCAATGACAGAGTGGAATAGTGGTCCACATCCAAGAAGATATCTGACGGCAACAAATCGTGGTTTGGTGGATAGATTCATTATTACATTACGGGAGAGGCTTGATGCAATATCAGATGATGATGGAGTTGGTCTTTGACATATACGGGTTGGACGCAAAAAGAAGGTCGAAGAGTTTATGAACATAGTAGACATGTTCATGGAAGTGCTATTGCCTAGTAAGTAATATGTTCATTTTTTCAGATTTCTTTTCTAACGACACTTAGTTTAATGGAAGCTGCTATGTGGAATAGATATCCCACCAAGAGATATCTCCTCCGAAGTTTAAGCATCACCAATGTTACGGACGTAGGATCAATACGCTTCACGGAACATGTCATTTCAATCCTCACCAATTCTTACTTTTCGTCGGGTGGTTTATGTGGTACATGGGGTGGTGATAAAGCTTCTGAATCAAGGGCAAAGAATACATCCAATGAAGAGACTTGGATCAATGGTATGAAAGATTTAATCAAACAAGATCTACATGGACCAGATAAGGAAGCACTCGAAGAAGAATTTCGAATTGAAGGTTATGCCTAGTTAAAGAAAGTCACTTTGCAGTAACTATATCTACCTCGATGCCAAGTTTACTTTTTCATCAATCTCAAACATTTGATGGAGATGAAGGTATTATGATCTCAGATTACCCCGCATTTTTACCCGCAGTTATGAACAAGTTTGACTGTAGCAACATCGACGGCGAGGTCCATGCAACATTCATCAAAATCATCAATACCATCAATACCATCAATACCATCAATGTTGAGATCATGACCTCGGGCACCATCTGCGACGATCAAAACAAATGCGCGGCAACGAATCCTTTGAATGGAGTGTCTACAAAGAGATTCACTTGAATTTGACAACGACGCCAACGAGATTGTTCAAAATGGAGCTTGCATAAGAGGGACTTGTGTGCCATGCTCGCGAGAGTCTACATAATACGTGGCAGATTGTCCATCATGAGAGTAAGAAACATTCTCAACTTCCGATTCTTCAATTATCCAACGAGCACCATAAATCACTAATCATCATATCATAAGGGACTGAGTTCTACTACAATTTCTCTGATGAGAAGGAATGTCACAGTGGGGCTCCTCTTTTTTGGTGAGTTTCTCTCTTTAGATAATGTGCGGGAACTGAAAAATGGAAATCCACCAAACTGGCATGAGTTAACTAGGGGCAGAACTTGGATATATTCGACATGGAGTAACTCAAGCGCACCGTGTACATGAGAAGATATGGAAGATTTGGGATTCGATATTGACCCTACAGAGAGCTCACACAACACTCGTTTTCTCAAGATAGGTATATCTTATTCCATCCTTTCCGATACTAAAATCTCTTTGAAGCTCACCGCCGCTGGCAGATGATTCTCTTCCGCTACTATGAGTATCTTGTAACTAATTGAGTCTCTTTCGCAGTTCCATCTCACAACCTGATGTTATATACTACACCTCCCACGCGATTGCTCCTCTTCCACTGCGATATCCTACCCACAATCAACTCCATTCTCGCTCCAAGTACACTTCTCTACATCTCAGAAGCAGTCATTCTTTTCATTAACTGAATCTATACGAACGCAGGTCATTCTATATCCTCTAAAGTTCCATCTTCTTTACTTTAAATCACACACAATGGTGCGCTTACCTCTTGAGTATAATACTAGCTCTCTCATCTACCATTTCGTCCACTTCGTCCCTTTCACATGTACATCTACCTCAGCGCAGTCACTAACATCTGCAAATCTGTTACTTACGCAGCAACATCTTATACATAGTTACTCCTTTTCATACCTACATCCGTCATCCACAATTTTATGAGTTACAGCCATTACATCCTCCTTCGGCTAGAAGAATCTATCTCCCCTGGAATATTTCGAACTTTAACAACCATTCACTACATTCTACAACTATACTTATATATATATTGTTGTTTATAGCTACCTGTTTCTGCAGATGAAATTGTCTTTTGGCTATCTATCGTCTGCTGCTACCTCCTTGCTGCCACCTCCTCGCTGCCACTACCCCAAGCCCCAATCTCCCTCCAGCTGCTACCTCCATCCAACCGGTATCTTCCTTTAGGCGTTACCTCCCTCTAGGCACTAATTCCCTCTAGTTACTACAATTTTCCAGATACCATCTCCTTTTAGGCGCTACATCCCGTCACCTCTGTCTAGACGCCATCTCCCCCCGGCCGCCACTCCCCTCTAGCTACCACCTCTCTTTAGCTATCATCTCCCTCCAACCAATACCTTCCTTCGAACATTACCTCCCTCCGAACGCTACCCCTATCTAGCTGCCCCTTCTCTCCATCTCCCACCTCCTTCCAGCGCTATCTTCTCCCCTCGGCTACCTCACACCTCCTGGTGAATCTATTTCTGCACAAGCTTTCTCCTTACGCTTGTCCCTCTCTGCAGCTACTATTTCTCTTTAGTTACCCCTTTCCCGCCGCCACCCTGTCACCACCTCCTCGGAGTTATCATCGACTTTCTGCCAACTATTCCCTTTCCCAGCCATCCCCTTCGTCTCGGGACAACTTTCCTGCAACCATTATCCTCTGACTGACAACTTCATTTCTATACGAGCCTTATCTCTGCGCTTGCTCTCTTTCTACAGCTACTATGTTACCTCTTCTCCGCGGTTACCTAATTCCCGTCACTATTACCCGCCGTCATCTCCATCTGCGACTACCTCACTGCTTCTGATTGCTTTTCCTTGCGGTTACCTCGCTCTTCCGTGTTACTTCAATCCTACGTGACTGCTATTCTTGCGGCTACTATTGTCCACCGGCCACATCCTTTCTGACCTCACTTCTCTTGGGTACTTCATGTCTATTTTAACCATCCTCTTGTAGCTACTATCTTCCTGTCAATAACTCCTTTCCACGTCAAACACCTACATCATCACCCATTCACCACCAAATCCCTACATCTACCGTATTATTTCTGTCACTATCCTTTCGTCGCCATCTCTTTCACGCTTCCATTTAATCTATGCCACCATCTTCCATCCACAACCAACTTATTGCTATCTCTTATAACTATTATCTTATACAAATACTCCTCATTGTCTTCTTTTTTCTAAAATCACTTTCTTATTATTATCACCTTGTTTCTTTAGCTAACTACTCTCCCCATCAGCTTTTATTTATTTATAAGTTCCCCTTTATCACTATCTCCTTTTGATTAGTATATCCTTTCTTCAATATATACCTTTTCCTCACAATTATCTTCTTCCTACAAGTACCCCCCTCTTATTTTTACCTCTAGCCTGAGACTATTTTTCCCTTTCTATAACAACCTCCTTTTTCTAACTATAACCTCTTCTAACCTCCTCTCTACCATCACTTTCTTCCTCTAGCTATTAATTCTCAACTTATTCCACTCCTTTCCCGCCATTATCTCATTTTTGCTACTAACTCCTCTTTACCGCAACCCCCTTTCTACCAACATCCATTTTTTATCGCCAACTCCTTCCTTCAACTACTATCCTATTTATACGACTACTTGCTTCCTTCACCTATCAATCCCCTCTTCATATATTCCCGTTCTGGTACTATTCTCCTGGTTACCACCACCTTATTTCTACCATCATCTCTTTTCTGTCACCCCCGGCCCTCTCCTGCTACCACCTTTCTGTCATCGCGTTTTTGCTTGCCGTTATCTCTTCTCTATCACATCCTCCTCTTTGCTCGCCACCTCTTCCTATTATCGCCTTCTCTCTACTGCCACCACTCCTTTCTCTATCTATCGACGCGACCGTTATCCACCTCCTCTTTGTCGATTCTTTTCCGCCGCCGCCTCCTTTTTATCGCCATTTCATTTTGACTCTACCTCCTTTCTGCCGCCATTTCCTTGCTATGACTATTGCATTCCCTGATCACCCTCTTTCTGTCTTTACTTACTCTCTACCAGTAGCCCTCTCCTCCGTTCATTACATTATGAATACTACCTCCTGTAGCCAATTCGCTTCCTATCGATTTCCCTTTGGTAATTATATCTTAGATACAATTAAGTTCGTTTACCATTACCTCTATAACTGCGTTCTTTATCTAACCAAATTCTTTGTGCAGTCTCGAATTCCCAACAGTCAAAGTTTTGAGGGGCCGGGATATCTATGTCTTCACGCGATTCATAAACATGACGCTGCACCCCGACAAATTTTGACCTGAAATCTGAGATCTATGATGCTTAAGGGTTGTCCAATGATATTCATGACTGTAGCATGTTTGGTATGGTTTCTCAAACATGGTGTAATTAAATTAGATACTTTTGAACGAGCATCCTTTGCTTTTCAGTGTGTAAGACCAATCCTATTCAGTTTCGAATTATCTGATGATCCCATGCATGTAAATGAATTTAATCATTGTCATGTCTGTAAGTACAACATGATAGATAATGCCCAATATTTACTCTGTCCTCGTCCTCTCTCTTTCCCTGTAAAGTAACCCCTTCACCTCCTCGCAGACGGAGCACGCCGAGAATGAAATTTAAACTATAAAAACCATCTTAGATAGATTTGATTAAGTCTAAGAAGGTAGAATAACTCAAAATTGTTCCTTACACCCATTGCGGTGTGGAGAAATCTTATAGCAAAATCGGTGCCATGAATACGCCCCCCCTTGACCAAAATTGAAATCTTGAAAATGTCTCCTGATAGATCCTAGAGTATGCCACACCAAACCCCTCGTCTCCTAAACTTCTAGGTTATTATTACACAGATGATACCCATCGTCGCCGTTGAGGAATCGTCAAATTTTCTTTTTCTCCCTTGGAAAAAGAAATATTCTGCATGATTCTTGAGCTTCAAGAATCCTAAAAATGTCAGACTCTTTGTCATTGTGGTCCGTTTCAGTATTTCGAAATCTCCGGGGTAGCTTAGGTTGAGGTGAACCACGGATAGTAGACTTCAACGTTTCTTATCCATTTGATAAGTTAACGTTACCAAAACTAGTTTACAGTAGTCTTGATATATATAGAACCCTCATAGCGTACTTTTAGCTATATCAATTGTCAAAATTGTCAAGTTTAGTCTTTTGGAAAATGAGATTTTGTGTTTTGGTGAAAATTATCTTTTTTTTTTACCAGGATTGCTATGACACCAAAGACAGTCTGTGAAGAATGCCTGAGCTCTCTGAATTATAATGATGTAACTTTCATGACAATAGCAAGCCTTTTCAAACAGCTCCATTTTGGGGATTTCATGATATGACACCTACGGCTTAAATCAATTTTAGAGATAGAGACTTGAAACTGCTTGTGAGACTCACTAGGAGTATCAGAATTCAAAAACTTTTATCTAGTTCACTCTAACGTGCCTTGCAAAGGTTTGGTCTTTGGAAGATTCACCTCTGGCTGAGGAGACACCATAAAGTTTGGAATTTCTCGACAACGAGAAGAGGTAACAAAATGGAATGATGCTTATAGAGTCTCTATGCATGTCAATATGCTTCACAACAGAACGTGTCTCAATCATGAAAGATTTTAAACATGTGTTCCACGAAGAATAGTGTTCACCGGCGCTCTGAGATTACACACT